CTCGCAGTTCGCCTCATTCTCGCGCACCTTCTGTGCCTTCGGGTACTCCGCCCTATCATACTCAGATCGCGCCTTGCCTGATCCCTCTCGAGGATCGCTTGATCTCTTTCCATGTTCGCCTGGTCCCTCTCAAGTTTCGCGCCAACCCTATCTGAGCCCTCTCCAGTTCCTTCTTCAAGTTACTGAGGTCCGGTTATGCCTCCTCTATTTGCTGACACCGTATCATGGACAATGGCCTGCTCGTAGATTGGGCTGCAAATCCCGCTGGCGGTCTGGCGGGGAGGGGGAATTCTCCCGCACCATATTCTGTGTTGTTACTCAAGCCGGGATTTCTTGCCAAACAGAATCCCCTCACGCCTCCATCCACGTTCCAGGATAGCCATCTGGCCTGTTTTTGACTGGATATTCCATCCGAAGTGTAGCCAACCATCAACACGGCTTCTGTCGCTGATTCTCTACATTCACCTTGCGCCTCTAACTGTAGGATAGCGTTCAACATCACCGCCAATCTCTCATCGACCTGGGTATAGTCGAGATCCCTCAAGTGCTTGTATAGCTCGTCGAGGGTAGGCCTTTTGAGCGCTTATGGCATAGACTTCCAGAAGCGATCAGTCATCGTCACACTATTATCAGGCGATCTCACGTATCAACCAAATCAAGAAATCCTTTACCCAAACCAACTCGAGAAGCACCTTACCCGTTAGATACAAGAAATACCTTTCCCCAATCGATGCTTGAGAAATGCTTCCCTTTGATACTGCTAATGGAGAACTTGCTCAAAATCTCCTTTTTTCTTCAAATGGGTGTGGCTTGATTGTCAATTCAAATTTGCAAATCAATCTGAAAATAAAAACCACTTCTAGACCAAGACGTTCTGTGCCTAACCTAAGTCTCCCCCATTATTGTGTTTTAAAACATTATCTCAACAATTCTTTGCTAAAACAATTCAATTAGTGATATTAAGAGCATGCAGACTCATTTGACATTTTAGCACCACCAACTCTCTAAGATTTAATTATCATGCAAATTACATTAAAATCCGTCTACCAGCCTGGTGCCCCCTTGTACCTAACTAGAGCCCCCCTTTAACCTAACTCGAGAGTCCTTCACCTCCTAACTCAAGACCTCCATGTCCGCCCAAAGCTCAGGCGATACTCAAGTAGTACTTCTTGTGTAGGTGCACCGTTATCTCCGTTTCTGCAAAGACCACGTGTAGGATGGCGTACAATTTCACTAGGGTTCAACTTGCCCCTGTTTGGGTCGTACACCGGAAGCGAGACCTCTAGTATCCCTCTTTCGATCATGAAGTCCCTCAGCCTCTTTAGTGCCAACATCACGTGTTCGCGGTCTATCGTGTTCTTTTCATTGACCCTTGTTACCAAAAAGCACAGGTATTTGCCCGGAACTTGTTAAACTGAAGGAGGATGCGCAGCCATTCCTCCCAACCCCGGTCTCTGCCTAAATAGAAACTCTACATTCTGATATTCTCTTTTGAATGCGGCCTCCAGTCTCGTGTTGAAGCTCATGTCTGCCGTTATGCAGATCGCACTTGTCCTCTCTGACAAAATTAAGTCGCTGTCCGTGATCAGGATGTTCTCTGAATATTCATTGGGTTTTTCAAATTTTGTCTTGAAATTTCTACTTATGGTAGGCTCAGCTTCCTCCTGATCCAATTCCAACACGTTGGTCTCTCTCACTTCCCTGAGCTTTTTTATCATCAAATTTTTGGTGTCGGTAAGTCCTTTCCCACTCCCCGGACAAAAATAAATATCGACGTCCTCATCGATGATGCTGAGTCTAAATTATTCGGTGGTATCTCAAGTGGCCGATCAGTAGCTGTCCAACCGAAGAGCGGATCTTTAGTTTTTACATGTTTTTCAGCTGACACGTCGACTTGCTGGATACTTTGCGCCTCTTCTCCCTTGTTCTTGAGGTAACGCATCCATTCCAGTATCCTCAAGTTTGTGTTTTCCCTCCTTTCTATCTCGTTCTGCTCCAGGTCTATCTCTCGTTCTGGTATCGAGTGATCCTTCTGCAAGGAGTGTTGGCTGTCGTTGATGATTTGCCATTCTTCATCTCCTACCAGCTCTCCCACGTTCACTAACTCCTTGCCTATCTCCTCGGGTTGTATCGTTTCAATCAAGAAGTAATCACCATACCTGTTGTATCTCATGCTTGTCCGCTTGCGATTGCCTTATATATCCCTGATGTGTTCGACAAGTCTGGTACCACTTTGGCACCTCGTTCTGCTTCGGACCATTTCAATCTTCCTCCGCAAAAGATCCCGCATCTGAATCTGCATCTATTTTCTCACTATCATCCATGCTCACGTCATCGTTGCCGTCACTCTTCTCTCTGGTGCCTTTTTCGTTCACTTCAGATGCTGGCTCTACCAGAAGGTACTCAAGTCCTTCCATAGTCTGTGGTACACACCAGTCTTCCGGAGATGGAACTTGAGGTTTCAGATTTTCATAGTGCGCTGCACGCCCTGTTTTCAAGCGGTAGAACCGTCCTGCTGGTGTAACTCCGTTATCATGAACGGTCCTCGCCATTTTTTTAGTAATTTTTTTGTGCACTTCGGAGGTATTATATTCTGGAACACCCAGACATGTTGTCCTACTGCATACGGGTTCGGTTGAAGTATTTTTTCATCGTACTTCTTCCGCTGTCTCATTTGTGCTTGCGCCGTGTTGCCCCTGCAGAGCTCGTTTAGTTTCTGTTGTCTCTTGACAGCCACTTTCACACACACGCCTGATGCGACGTCTTTTTCCCTTCGTATTCTGGATTTAAAAAAGTTAGGGGCATCGCTCTCTCCCTGCCTGTTAACATCATGAAAGGGCTGATTCCTGTTGTTGAGTGTTGCGGCAGATACTTATCCCAGTCTGTCATGTATCTCGAGCAATTCACCCTGAGCATGTTCACCAGCTTTCTGTTCTGTCTCTCGACTAATCCGTTAGTCTGAGGATGGTAAGTTGTTGAGTGTGCTTGAGCAATGTGCGATCTCCTCGTCAACTCTTTTGTCAGGTCCCCCACGAAGCCTTTACCGTTATCCGACTGGAATGTCATCGGACAATCATATCGCAATATCCAATGCGCTATCAAATGGTCACAAGTCTCCTCCGCTGAGGCTGTTTGACATGGCACCGCCTCTGCCAACTTCGTAAAGTTGTCTATTATGACCAGTATTTGATTGTATCCCGAGTCAGTCAAGCAGACTTCTGATGGTCTATCTGCACGACTTCGTTGAATTCCGAGCTCTCTACGGATTTGAGTGGGAACTTCCTTTTTCCAGGATATTTCACTTGTAAACACGACAGGCATGCGTTGCATCTCTCGCAAGCCTTTCTTAACCCTGGCCAATCAAACCTGGGTAGTATTCTTTGTTGTACTTTGTCTATCCCCTGATGTCCCAGCTGGTCGTGCGATCTGGATAACACTTCAGTCTAGTATAACTGTGGAAGTATGATGAGATTAAGCTTATTTAATATCTTCTCATCATCTTTTCTTCTACAGGCTACCACACCATCAGCTGTGTGATAGATTAAATCTCTTCTCTCTTTGTAGAACTGGCTCAAGATTTGGTAACTGTTTTCCTCCAGATCCCTTTTCTCTTTCTCTCCTATCCGGATCCATTTGGAGAGATTGCTCATCATCTTGTCATTCATCTAGGCTTGTATCAGATCCGACAGTCTGTATCTCGCTTTGACATGTTCCTTCAATGCCATCATCTGACCATTCAGTTCGCCGGGACTGTGGATGTCGCCTTTTAACTTTACGCATACTATCCTTCTCAGGACCTCCCTGTCTTCCTCTGGCACCAGGTTTGTCCCGACATTTGAATTGAATGAAAACTCCTCGGACGGTTTTCTTGATACTGCAATTTCTCAAGCTCTTCTCCTCCGGATTGTGCAATCCTGACGAAGGGTCGGTTTGTAGTTCCCTGTCGCGCTGCCTCACTTTCTCTTCTGCCAATATCATGCAGAGACTGTCTTGGTCATTGCCACTCTTCTCCGAGTCTTCATCCCATTCTTCGGACTCACCTGACAATTTCTCTTCTTCAGCATCTTCTCCTGATGTGGGCCACTCCCCGGACTCTTGACCTAGTCGAAGGTGTTCGGCCTCTTCCCTAAATGACACTTTCTTCTTTTGAACCATACTCTGCCTTAATATCTCTTCCGGGATTTGGTCAAGAAATGATTGCACGACCTCTTTGTCATCAGGTTGCTTTTCTTTCAACCAGTCCTCGCCGTAAGCTGCATCATTTCTTCTCAGTATCGTGACTTCTGGCTCGTCTTTCTCAATTTTCCAGACTACGGGTTTATCGCCCGCTAGATTTTCGAGTAATCTCCTCAAGTCCTCGCCTATCTTCGCCCTTGCCATCTCTACTTGATTGAGATCGTAGCCTTTTGCCTTTAGTGTTTCCCTCACTGTTTTTGACTTGAGCATTACTTCCATTGGCATCCCTCGGTTTCTCTTCAAAATTGTTTTCTCTGGACGCTCCTGTGGTAGCTCGGGATGATCCTCTATAGGTTCACCTGACTTGTCGAGCCGCCTCGTGAGTGGAAGGCTATCGTACGTTTTCTTATCCATAAAAGAGAAGCCATTTTTGATCTCTGGCCTATCCGCCTCCCTTTGCTCCTGTCTCTCGTAGAATTCCGTTTTCTTACTCAAGCTATCGGCATTTTGATGTTTGTCCCTTGTTCTGTGTTCAATGATCTCATTGTAGCCATCCAAGCGAATTATCCATCTCCCAATGTAGCTCTGATCCATTGAGTACGTTTTCAACCAGCTGAGTGCTTTATTGTCGACCCGTAACTTGAATGGTTCGCTACCTAGGTACGCCCTGTATTTCTCTACAAAGGTGATAACCGCAAGCATCTCTGCCTTGGGTGTCCCGTACTCCATCTCTGTATCACTCAAGACTTTGCTCCCGTATGCTATTGGTCTCAAGACTGTCTTCCCGTTCCATTCCTGCTCTTGATGGAGTATGCCAGAGAACGCTACCACCGACGCATCTGTATCCAGCACGTACATTCCTTTTCCGTTGGCATACCTAGCACAGGTGCTTCACACAACTCCTTCTTTATTCTTCGGAATGACTCTTCTGCTTCGTTGTTCCACGTGAATTTCTTGCCTTTGTGCCTCATGAGTTGCTGCATCGGGTACATTTTGTTCGCATAGCCCTTAATGAATTCCCTGTAATAGTTCGCATAACCCAAGAAGCTCATCAGTTGATGCTCTGTTTTTGGTGATTTCCAAGTCAGCACCGCTTCTAATGCGTCTGGGTCTGGTTTGATGCCATGTTCATCCACCATCCTCCCCAGGTATTTAATCGAGTCCTTGAGTATCTCGCACTTTGATGGATTGAATTTTAGTCCCGCTCTTTTCATGCAAGCGAACACCTTGTCTAGTCGCTCGATGTGGTCCTCTAAAGTAGGTGTCGCTATTACCACGTCGTCCACGTATCACATCACCAGGTTGCCATATTTCTTCGTTAGTCTTGTCAATGCGCGTACCATCAATCGTTGAAACGTAGCCGTGGCATTGCAATGACCAAAAGGCATCCTTTCCATTGAAACAGCCCAGCTCGCATGCAAACCCTGTTTTTTCCTTGTCCTGCTTCCTCAGTGGTACCTGCCGAAAGGCCGACCCTAGATGAAGAGTTGTGAAAAGTTTTGCGTAATTTAATTTTGAGAGACTCTCATCTATCGTAGGTATGGAATAGGCATACTTCACCGTGACGGAGTTCAGATATCGAATGTAACAACAAAACCTAAGTTGGTCTCCTTTCTTTATAGCCATCACTACTCCACACACCCTCGGTGATTTGGATGATTCTATCATGCAATACTCTAGGAGGGTCTCTATCTCTTTTCTACAAGCATCCGATTTGTTTGGGGTCATACGCCTCGCCCCCTCCCTATGAGGCACTGCCGATTCTTTTAGCTCTATTTCATGTTCAGCAAAGTTGCAGCATCCAATGTCTGCCTTAGGTCTCGAAAAAACATCCTGATTCCTATCTAGAACGTCCTTGATGGCTCCGAGCTGTTCGTTTGTTACTTAACCCCTCAAGTGCTCTATTTCTGGTAATACCGGCTTATCCAATTCTAATTCTACTAGTGTGGGTTTTTCCGGAAAACTCGAACAGCTCGAAAGCACATCGTCTGTCTCTGACTTAAGCAATTTCACAATCTCTTCTCTCTTTGTAGAACTGGCTCAAGATTTTGTAACTGTTTTCTTCCAGATCCCCTTTCTCTTTGACTCCTGTCCGGATCCATTTGGAGAGATTGCTCGTCATCTTGTGATTCATCTGGGCTTGTATCAGATCCGACAGTCTGTATCTCGCTTTGACATCTTCCTTCAATGCCATCATCTGACCATTCAGTTCTCCAGGACTGTGGATGTCGTCTTTTAACTTGACGCAGACTATCGTTCTCAGGACCTCCCTGTCTTCCTATGGCACCAAGTTTGTCCCGACATTTGAATTGCATGAAAACTCCCTGAACGGTTTCCTTGATGCTGCAATTTTCTCAAGCTATTCTCCTCCGGATTGTACAATCCCGACGAAGGGTCGGTTTGTAGTTCCCTGTCGCGGTGCCTCACTTTCTCTTCTGCCAATATCATGCAGAGACTGTCTTGGTCATTGCCACTCTTCTCCGAGTCTTCATCCCATTTTTCGGACTCACCTGACAATTTCTCTTCTTCAGCATCTTCTCCTGATGTGGGCCATTCCCCGGACTCTTGACCTAGTCCAAGGTGTTCGGCCTCTTCCCTGAATGACACTTTCTTCTTTTGAACCATACTCTGCCTTAATATCTCTTCCGGGATTTGGTCAAGAAATGATTGCACGACCTCTTTGTCATCAGGTTGCTTTTCTTTCAACCAGTCCTCGCCGCAAGCTGCATCATTCCTTTTTCCGTTGGCATACCTAGCACAGGTGCTTCACACAACTCCTTCTTTATTCTTTGGAATGACTCTTCTGCCTCGTTGTTCCACGTGAATTTCTTGCCTTTGTGCTTCATGAGTTGCTGCATCGGGTACATTTTGTTCGCATAGCCCTTAATGAATTCCCTGTAATAGTTCGCATAACCCAAGAAGCTCATCAGTTGATGCTCTGTTTTTGGTGATTTCCAAGTCAGCACCGCTTCTAATGCGTCTGGGTCTGGTCTGATGCCATGTTCATCCACCATCCTCCCCAGGTATTTAATCGAGTCCTTGAGTATCTCGCACTTTGATGGCTTGAATTTTAGTCCCGCTCTTTTCATGCAAGCGAACACCTTGTCTAGTCGCTCGATGTGGTCCTCTAAAGTAGGTGTCGCTATTACCACGTCGTCCACGTATCACATCACCAGGTTGCCATATTTCTTCGTTAGACTTGTCAATGCGCGTACCATCAATCGTTGAAACGTAGCCGTGGCATTGCAATGACCAAAGGGCATCCTTTCCATTGAAACAGCCCAGCTCGCATGCAAACCCTGTTTTCTCCTTGTCCTGCTTCCTCAGTGGTACCTGCCAAAAGGCCGACCCTAGATGAAGAGTTGTGAAAAGTTTTACGTAATTTAATTTTGAGAGACTCTCATCTATCGTAGGTGTAGGATACGCATACTTCACCGTGACGGAGTTCAGATATCGAATGTAACAACAAAACCTAAGTTGGTCTCCTTTCTTTATAGCCATCACTACTCCACATACCCTCGGTGATTTGGATGATTCTATAATGCAATACTTTAGTAGGGTCTCTATCTCTTTTCTACAAGCATCCGATTTGTTTGGGGTCCCTATGAGGCAACGCCAATTCTGTTAGCTCTATTTCATGTTCAGCAAAAATGCAGCATCCAATGACTGCCTTAGGTCTCGAAAAAACATCCTGATTCCTATCTAGAACGTCCTTGATGGCTCCGAGCTGTTCGTTTGTTTTTTAACCCCTCAAGTGCTCTATTTCTGGTAATACCGGCTTATCCATTTCTAATTCTACTAGTGTGGGTCTTTCCCGGAAAATTCGAACAGCTCGAAAGCCCATCGTCTGTCTCTGACTTAAGCAATTTCACAAGAATTGATGAATTTTTTATTTTCTTCATTCTTCTCAAGATACAAATTGTAACCCTATGATTCGGGCAATCAAGAACTTCATTTTCTTTTACATTTTCAGTCATTTCATATCGAGTTTTCTTAGTTAGAGCGTATCCCAGTTTCCTTTCCCTCTGGATTGTGATAGGTATATCAAGAGTATTCAACACGACACTGACGTAGAAGCCACTCTTGGTTATCGCGAAGGATCTTCCTAAATTAGCAGCTTTTTCACTCTTAGTCTCGCACCTTGGATTTGGGACTATGCATACTTGTTTATTGTCACTTGGTTCATTATAATTTTACATCGGCAAACTTACTATTGCCTCTTCGTTTGCTTTAAACCTTACCATCCTACTCAGGAATGCTGGTGCTTTATTCTCATTTACCATCATCAAATTTACCGATTTAATTACGTACTTCCTTTCCGAGTTCCGAATCCTGAACATCGCATTGTTTAGATCAATTGTTACATCGAAATTCCTGATGAAGTCTCTGCCTAAAATGAATTGGTCAGACTCATCTAGATTCTCCACCACGAGAAAGCTCCCAAATTGCGTTACCCCGAGTTTAGGGCTACAATTGGTGTCCTGCCTTGTACCCGCAGCGCCCCTTTGTTTGCTGCCGACAGCCGTATTCTCGAGTCTATCAAGTCGTCTTTGCCGAAAACCATCTTCTTCCATGTTTCGATTGGTATGACCTTCAAGACCGCTCCTGTGTCAAGTAACCCATGCAGTTGAGTCTTCTTTCCGTTTATGTCTAGTGCGTGTGCAGATACGTCTGCTTCCGTCCCGATATGCATCGCAGCTTCTTCTAACATGGCACAGTGTCCAATCGATCTCACTTTTAGTTCTTCTCTACCCACGTAGATTTGTCCTGCTAGGTCTTCATCACATATTATCATGGTCTTAGTGTAGATGTTTATTCCATCTATGTTTAGCATTACCTCATGTGGACCATAGGCTTCCGTGTATTTATTGTCGTGGCGAACTGACTTGCTGCCACCTCTTGTGAGTAGTGCCCTCAAGGCTCTAGAAGTTGTCTGCGGGCTTATTGCACTCAAGTAATCTGCGTACACATCAATGTGCGTTATCGTCTGATCGCTCGGTTCACCCAGGTTTCTTATTACTTCGTGACCGACCACTGTGATTTTAAGAGTGTTGCAATTTCCACGGTTGTTGCGCTCTCTGCGGCTTCCAGCATTGGGATCTCCCTGCAGAATGTCTCATTCAATCTCTGCGTCTCTATCTCCTGCTTCAGTCGTTGCTCGATTTTTTTTGTCGCCAAGTCTTGCTTCACTTCGTTGATTGCCTCTGCAGCTGTTTTCTCATAATTTATCTCCAGTGAATTCCTAGTCTCAGCCTCCATGAAAGTTTTGACTTGCGTTACAGCTTTCACCGTTTTTGTCGATAATTCCCCACTCGCTGCCTCCGTGTTCTTCAAGTCATTTTCGGCTTTTCTTTTCCTCGTATTCTGTACCACAGCCAGTGCTAACTCGTATTTGGGATGACTTTGATTCTTCACCGCCACCCAAAATAATGGACAGTCCATCCTGAAATGGCCCTCTTGATTACAAAAGAAGCACCTCGCGCCTATCTTGATGATTAAGCCACTATAATACTCATGTTCCTCCGTTTGGCTCATATATTCTTCATACGGCGCGTATCCCCGACTTTTCCTGCCTTGTTTGTATGTCGTGCAATCCGCTAGATGATGATACGCTGATCCGTAATTTGCGCATGACCTACGTTTATCCATGTCGTATATAACTTTGTGGTTGGCTTCCCCCTTGCATATTCCTGCCTTCTGAGTACGGTTACTTTTTTGGTTTCATCAACATGTACTCCCTAGACGTTTGTCTCATCTCTTCTGGGGTTGGCGCATTTTCCTTTGATAGTGTATAATACGTCACCAACATCGTTCTCAAGTCACTTTTTACCCCGTCGATAAACTTCGAGGCGATGCTGAAATTTCTTCTGTTTGTTGATTCTTCCGGATCACTCCTTCTTCTCAAGCTCTCAAGGTCATCCAGGAACCGATCGATTGACTCGTCGTCCCTCTGTCTTCTTTTTTCAAATCTCATCATAGCTTGGTGACCCTTATTTCCTGATCCGAATCGGTTCAACAGTTTTTCGAAGATCTTGTCTGCCGTAGCACGCTTCTCTTTTTTCTTTGCTACTACACATTTCAACGCTGTGCCCTCCAGATTGCTCAGTTTTGCTGTGCAGGCCTGCCTTTGGTCATTCAAGTTATCTTGTTTTAAATGTAATCTTCTACCCATGTGTCAATGCAGCCATCCGATTCGTCTTTAAACTTTTTGGGTTTCTTGAAGGTCTTCATGGATTTGCCAATTCCTCTTTCACTCGAGTCAGTGTTCTTTTTCGCGAACGCTTCCAGTGTCCTATTCATCATTTGCCCATGTCATGGCGTCAGGTGCTACATTGGTGTTCGTGCTGGAGTCCCCTGGTACATTTGTCGAGTTTGAGATTCCACCCTTCATGATGGTCTTGGACCCCCTGTCACTATACTCGCTGCACTCCGGGGTAACGATTGAGACTCCCGTTTTTTCCGTTGTGTTTCTATAAAGTCGACTCTGGTGCCTTGTGGTTTGTCTGTTAACAATTTATCCTGTGCTATAGAGTTTCTCAAGAGAGCATCCAGTTTGGACTGTATGGCACAAGAACTTCCAGCTTGGTCCTTGCTCATTGTATCCATTCTAGTCTCATGCTTCCACAATTTTTCATTCACAGTGTCGTACCGTTTCTTCATTTCTTCCATATCTTTTTTGATATGTTTCTCTTGTTATTTGTCGGTAGTCTCTACTTTGTCCCGACATCTGTTGTAGCTTATTCTCCGTGGCCTTGCCAAGCAATAGTAGTTATCCAGGTTCTCGTTCTTGTTGTGTCTTACTTCCTTTTTTAAATTCTAGGCGGTCCTCTTCACTGCACTTCAACTTTTTGTCTATCTCATTCAACTTCGTCGTCAAGTACCCCAGCTCCACCGTGATTGTTCTTGTTTCCTTAGTTCGTTCGTCTGGGCTAACTGCTGCTACTTGCGAGGCTTCTCCCATTTCCTTTCTGGTTTCCGTCGTTATCGTAGAAACTGTCCCAATGGTTTTGCTCTTCACGTTTGCAGTTGTTTCCTCTTCAATTCTTGGTTTCATTCCGACCATTGCAACAATCTTCTCAGTGAACGACATTTTCTTCGCTTGTGGGTCGTCTTTTATCGTCTTTGGTGTGTTGGTTACCTCTTCTTGATTGCCTATTGATGAGAACTCTATGGTGTTCTTTTATTGTTTTCACTGTGTTTGGCATCGGAGTTGATTCCGTTGTCTTGCGTTCTATCGCCTCTGTGCTCTGATCTGGTGTCTCTAGATATGTCTTTTTTGCTGGTACGCTTTGTTCTTCCAACGTCTTCTCTTTCGCCTTTTGCTCCTTGACGCTTCTTGCTCTGACCATATTCACTGAAAGAATCTTTCTCATTATTCTCGGGTTCGTTTGTGCCGGTTTCTTTTGCATTGAGGTATGGCTCTGCTCAGGATCTGTTCCTTTTCTTTCAGTTAGTGATACTCTGTTTTTCTTCATTAATTTTATTTGCATTTTTTCTTTTCTACAATTCTAATTTGTACAAGTTCCTATTCTAAAGTTTAAAAGTTAAAAAATATTCCTAATTATTGTAAGAAAAACCATTTGAGCTCGTAATCTCACTAGTGTGGACTTTTAGCTAGTTGTGGTCGTTCTGATTGGGTCCTGGTGCCTTTATTCAAGTGTTGGGACTCTTCACACTATCCCAGGACGTCTTCTAACCCTCCTAGGATCCTACGCTTAAGTGATGGGACACCTCGCACCGTCCCAAGACCTCTTTCTTCTAGTGTTGGGACGCTTCACACTGACCCAAGACCTTTCGTCCAAGTGTTGGGACATCTCGTACTGACCCAAGACCTCCTGCTCAAGTGTTGTGATACTTCACACCATCCCAGGGCCTTTCTTTTCTAGTGTTGGGATACTTCACAATGTCCCAAGACCTTTCTTCTCTAATGTTGGGATACTTCACACTGTCCCAAGACCTCCTTGTTCAAGTTTTGGGACACTTCAAACTGTCCCAAGACTTCCTGCTTAAATGTTGGGACACTTCACACTGTCCCAAGGCCTCTCTTTTCTAGTGTTGGGATACTTCACACTGTCCCAAGACATCCTGC